TCGGGCGCTGACCGGCGGTGTTCTGCAGGAAAGCAGCCTCGGTTATTTCCCGGTATCCCAGCAAGATACGGAGCGGGGCCGAAGCCAAGAAGCTGGTAGGTGCCCGTGCCCAGGTTGCCGGCGGGAGGTCCTTGGGGCAGCGGCGCTGGGGGCTCCCGGGAAGCAGGGGGCAGGCTGGCCCCGCCGATGCCAGCTCCTCTGCCCGGTGGCCGAGTCAGGGCTCCGGGACACGGTGCGGCTGCTGTGGGGGTTTCATAGCTGGAACTGGGGGCTCCAGCTGAGTCTCTGCCCGCAAAAGGCTTCTGTTGTGGCAGGTTTCCCCTTCGCTGTGTTACTGCTTCAGCACATTCGGGGAACTTGAGCAGTAATAATCAAAGCCTTGTTCAAAATTATTGCTTTGGGGGAACTTTTAATATAGCCCTTGAATTACAGGGTTTATGCTGCTTGTGTTGTACCCTTGAATTCTTGTGCTCCCTTACGGTCCAGTATTTCATCATGGTCTCGGTGGCGTCATAGTTCTTTCTGGGCTCTAAATTCTGGGGAGCTTTCCTTTTTTTCTAGATATAATGACTTTAAGTGGTCTTGAAGTTAACTTGTCTCCCCTTGCCCCCACCGATACTTAGGATGGAGTTGGTGCTAAAATAGCAGAGAAGATAGATGAGTTCTTATCCACTGGAAAACTACGCAAATTGGAAAAGGTGGGTTTCTTTTCCTTGTACTCTATTTCTCAATAGTTGCTTTTCTTTGTAACTTGTAAAATTGCTTTGTGCCATTTCTGTTGTTGTCCCTGGAGAGACTGATGTCAAGCTTAAGACCTGTGGACAAGGAGTCTATGGCAAGTAGAAAGCAGGGAATGAGAAGCTCAGCCAAAGCCTCAAAACTGTCTATTTATGAAAATATTTTAGGCTATGTAATCAGCATCTGAATGTCTTCTGTGAGCAGCGGAATTCTGACTCTGGAAGGCTGTTGAGTTTTGTGGTTTAACCATGCTGGTTGCTTTAGCGTGGGTAGCTAGGCAGTTGTCAGGCTTGGTGCATACGGCGTTGTTGTGAGACACAGTACTACCCTTGGTACTGTTTCGCATGGATTTGCAGTGAGCCTCCAAAGCCGAATATGACTAAGCTGTTTTATCAAGATTTCTTCGTTTATTGCAACTGGAGTAAAGGGTTTGGGTTGTGTTGTTTTGTTTTTGTAGATTCGACAAGATGATACAAGTGCATCTATCAATTTCCTGACACGCGTTACTGGCATTGGGTAAAGTTTGTTTGTTTGTTGGGTTTGGGGTTTTTTTCCCTTCTCCTGTTTATTTGGTGGAGTTATGAACAGAATTTGGGTGACTGCAAATAATGAAGAGAACGAGTTTGAGCTGATGCTGTAGTGCCCACACTGAGACGCCATAGTTGTGATGACACGTTTGGCTGAGAAGAAAGGGTATGGAATCGGCAGTTACAGACTGCGGTGGAGGAGTGGAAGTGGGAAGCTTCTGTGTGCAGGCTGAGAGGGGAAGGAGAGGGGAGCTGGCCACGAATGGAACCATGAAAGACTGAGAAGAGTGGAAGTGAGAAGCCCCTTTGGGACTTTTGGTGGGAAGCTGGGCCCAGGGACAATGGTGCTCTGTCGTGTGTTTGTAAAGGGAGTAGTAGAGCCCTGAAACAGGCAACAAAACGAGAAAAAATTAATTAAAACCCCCCCCCCCCAAAAACCAAAACCATCAGAGCTCTTGTGCAATGTTTGAAACCCTTGAGGCTGAGGGTAGGGAATGCGATCATTCTCAAGTAATTCTGACAGAAAACGTGCTCAAAGTTTGAGGATATACTGGGATTTGAGAATGCCTTTGAGAAGTTGGGATGGGATGCAGAAGGAGAAGCTTGGGTGCTGTCCTGTCTCAGGACAGTGGAAGTTGCCTCTCTTGGTCTGGGATCCAGCAAGAGATGCAGAGAAGGGTAAGAAAAGAAGTAAATGGCAGGTCAAAATCTGACAATTCTATTGTAATGTAAGAGTTTTATTGAGGAAATGGATTCAAAGCCTTTAAGGATGGTGGAGCTGTAACCGTGGGATTCCAGAGTAGCTGGAGAGTAGTTCCCCAGGAAGGCACTATGCTTCCGGGCTGGTGGTTCTCAGCGGTTTGAGATACTGGATAGGTATCTGGGTATAACATTACTTGAATGCCTGTCTCACAGCTGAAACGTTGTTCTTTCCCGCACAGTCACGTAGATTAATCTGACGGCAAACCCTTAAAGGGGAAAAAGGTTCAGCCATTCACTCAAGTGTTGTGCCGAAGGCAAACTCTCCAGCCAGACTGGAGCTGGGAGTGCTCTGCTGTACCGTAGGTTGCAAACTGGAGCCTTGTTGGGTTTTTTGAAGTGCTAGTCTAAAGACACTTCTGTGTTGCTGTTGCCTTAAGCTGGTTCAGAGACTGATGGTGGTTAAAGTAGTTCTTATCATGCTTTCGGTATCGTTGTCTAAAGCAGTATTGCCTATTTGGTGAGATTTTGTTTATTTTTTACAATTATGCATTGCTATATAGTTATATCAATGCTAAAAACGTGCAGGCCAAACCTTGGATAGCCATCTCTGCTGACTGAAAGTACAAACTGAAAACGCATGTGCTGAAAAGAGGGTAAGCATCAGAAGTGACTTGAGTCTTGGCCTTGAGGAACCTAGGCAGTTACAGTGAATTCTAGTGTCCTTTTCAGTGTTGTAAGATTCTTGCTGTTCCTGATGGCAGATTGCCTTGTCTCTTTGCAGTCCCGCTGCTGCTAGGAAGTTTGTCGAGGAAGGAGTTAAGACTTTAGAAGGTAAGTGTAACTTTGGGTCTTCAGTTTACACTCCAGTGATGTTTTCTGTCAAGCTGCCTGTTCCACAACGGTACCGTGATAGCAGATACACCCGAGGCTTTGAGGAGAGCGTCTAAGATGCTAAAGTTAGTGCACAGGCTAAAGTCATTCCGTACATATCCAAAATAAAGTACTTAGAGATTATATAGAAAATAACAAGGGTTTTGGCTTTGAGGTGAATGGTCTATTGAAGTCTTTATCAGAAGTGCTCTGTGCATCCTGTCAGCTGTTGAGTAGTCAGTTTAAAATCTCTTCCTTTGTGTTTGAGGTTGCTTTTTTCTTATTACGTGTTCTCTGCGTGCATCATCTTTGCATTGGTGGAAACTTACTGTAAGATTTTCAGTCCTCAAGTAACTTTTCTGTTTGTTTGTTTTTCTTAATTCTTCTAGATCTAAGAAAAAATGAGCACAAGCTGACCCATCACCAGCGAATTGGGTTGAAGTAAGCTTTCTTGGGTGCAAGTGCTTGGCTTTTGTAATGACTCCTTCAGACACCAGGATGTGACGTAAGGTTACACAGGCCAAGTGAAGTTCTCTTCTCTCTGGGTGCTCCACATGCTTTTCAGCAGTTACTCAGAGTTTTTGTTTCATTGAGGTTGAAATTCAGTAGGCTTAGTCTCCGTCCAGAAGGAAATTAATTTCGAATGGCTCTTTCAGTTAGCTCATGGAGAATCCCTTTAGCAAGGTTGCAATGATGTTTCTGAGGAATCTGCATGAAAGTGGCCCAGGCTGTTTTTTGTCGTGTGCTGTGAGGAAGGTAAGACCTTTGCACGTCTGAACTTGAGAATGCCATGCAGAATGTGTGTCTGTCCCTCAGTACTTACCTGCTTGAATGCTGCTTGCCGAGTGGCTGTTCCAGCGTGCCAGTTCTGGCAGAACTATAGCTGTGTTTGCAAGAAGCTGCAAGTGAACCAAATAAAGCCCTGTATCTGAATTGGTTCTGCGTGGGGCCAGCTCTAGTGTTTCCCCATCAGTGGCAGAGATGTGGAATATGTGATCTGGACAAACTGCTTGCCAGTGAGTGAGAAGGGTTACACAATGATTGTCACGTTCCCACTGCTCATCTGAGCCCCGTACCAGTGTGCGTGCCTTTATATGGGTGAGCATTCAAGGGAAAACCTTTCACTGTTCAGTGAGGGTAAGAAAACTCACCTGACCTGTCCAGGTTGCTAGTGCACACCCTGCCCTCGGGTCTGCTTCCAGCGTTGTGCTCAGATGTTGCTTCAGAACCTCCGGTAAGTGCTGAGCTGAAAGAATGGTTTCAGTGCTCTATGGTGGTCTTTTTGTCCCCAGTTCCATTGCAGCTCTCGGAGGGGGGTGAGGGCGGGGGGAGTCCCATATCCAGAAGCTCTGGCTGCAGAGCGTGGGGTTGGAATGGTTGGGTAATGAGTGTTGGGGAACATGCGGCTCCGAGGCTGCAGTACGGCTGCTGTTAATGGTTCTGGTGCTGGAGGAGTGAAGAATGCGCCTGCTGGTCGGTGCCTTGCTGTTTCACCTGGCCTCTCTTTCTCCACAGTCAAGCAGCATGCTGGCAGTCTGGTTTTTACAGCTGCATGCAAAGATATCGGGAGCTGTATTTGACTTGTGAGCTTCCAATTAGCTCTTTCCAACATAGATCACCTCTGACCAGGGGCGAGGGACCTGTTCCTCCTGATTGCTGGTGGACTGAGTTTTGTCAGGAACCTTTTGTATTTTCAGAGGGCTATGTAAATATAAACCAATTGGTCATACAGTAATATTACTCCCACCTTGTAGCAGCTGCTCATGTGTAGTGGAAATAATAGGCAATGAAACCATCTTCTAAGCATTGTCAAACATGCAATTGAGTTTTTACTATTGCTTGGCAAGATGTTTTCTAAGATGTTGGGTGAGAATGGGGAGCTTTTTGTGATGTGATGGTAATACAATTTGTATTCTTTCCTCTGCTACTCATTTAATTGACTAAAATTTTAAGATGCTACCCTTGCCAGTCTTTCAGACGCTTTTATATTTATGTATGCAGATATTTTGAAGATTTTGAGAAAAGAATTCCAAGAGAAGAAATGCTGCAGATGCAGGTAAGCATGTCTTTATCAGGGATGTGAGGCACTGATGGCCCATGAATGACTGACGCCTCTAAACACACATCTTCCCTTTTTACATAGGAAATTGTGCTGAAAGAGGTAAAGAAGCTGGACCCAGACTATATTGCTACAGTCTGTGGCAGTTTTAGACGAGGTTGGTACTCTGTGATCTTGTTAGTTTATTTTGGGCCGATAAGCAAGACTTATTACTACATAAGTTGTTCTTCTAGAGAGGAACTCAATGCTGGACCCTGGCTTTTTCCTGTTAGTATTGTCTTGATTGGTTAGTTCAGTGACGAAACACCTGCGTAAATCCTTGCTTCTCCTCCCCGCCCCCGTAAAGAGTAGGATATTGTAACATGTGAATTGTTTGCTTTGCTTTTACATTAACAACATTTGTGCTTCGTTGCTGTAGAGTACAGCAAGAAATTCTTGGGTATTTTCTGAGATATGCGGGGATATAAACTTTTTGATGGAAGAACCAGGGTCTCTTACTTTAAGATCATTTTTTTGCAAATATCTTGAAGAGTGACTGACTATTTTCTACCAGAAAAACATGTTTACAGGAAGAGGTTAGATGGATGTTCACCAAAGTTAGTATACTTTGTCATACCCAGAGGGATTTTTCTTCTTTCTTGCCTAGGAGCAGAGTCAAGTGGCGATATGGATGTTCTCCTAACCCATCCGAGTTTCACATCGGAATCATCCAAACAGGTGGGTTTCTCTGCTGCTGTGGATCAGTACTGTGCATTACTGCCACAAGGGTATGTTTAAATTCAGAAGATACGTAGTCTCAGGCTGGTATTGCACCTTCTTGCATCTTTTTGTTAATATAATAGTAACCTCTTCTCTTGGATCACCCTGTTGTATTTTGAGGAGTTGTAATCGCTTCTCAGGTCCATGTATTACATTGTGTTCCTCTTGCAGAACTATTCAGTGTGTTTACTCTTACCCTTCTGTCCCTCCTCTTCCCTTCACACACACTCCCCCCACCCGCTGGAATTCATGTGCTTTTGCAACATAGAACTGTAACAGCTAGCTGGATAAAGCAGAGCTTAAAGGTGGAGTAAGTATCTCTTCATGTAGCCATGATCTTTTTCTTGTGTCACTTCTATAGATTCATTGCTTAAAAGTTGAAAACTCAAACCAAGAAATTAGTTTTGTCACTTCCAGTGAAAGCAATCTGACATGGGGATTTCAGTGGAAATTTTTTTTACCTTGCACAACTGTAATTTTATTAGCTTTTTCTCAATATCATTGTTATCTTTTTTCCCCCTCTGGGTCAAACTTCATGTACAATAATACATATAATTATAGCGATGTCCTGTACTTCTGTGGGCCGTTGTCTGGTAAATGGGTAAGATGTTCTTGTTATTTGTGAAATAATTTCTTCTTCTGTGTTGTCACTGTTTCTAGTCAAAACTTCTGCGTCAAGTTGTAGAACAACTGGAAAAAGTCCACTTTGTCACAGATGTGCTGTCTAAAGGTGACACCAAATTCATGGTAAGGCTTTTTTGCTGGTGAGGGATGTTGGGGCGATTACCTTTCCTGGCAGAAGCCAGGATATATACAAGATACGTTGTTTGGACTGCTGGAGTTGTGATTTTTTTTTTTTTTTTTTTTTACTTTGAATTTCATCCATAAAAACTTTGTGCAGTTAACTTTTAGTGAATCTCTCATGGTAAGATTTCAGTATTAGAAAATCTACAGGTATTTATGTAGTTCTGAGCCCCGCTGACATAATCTTCATCACACAGTGCCAATTGCGTCTCTGTTTTGCTTGATGTTTCTCCAGAACCTTAGCACAACCTCACTTCTTCAGTTGCACCAGTCACTGCTTTTGTAGCTCTGTCATCAAGATCTTGGAAACACTGTCTTTGATCTTGGGCCTCTGTTTACCTTGTTTTGTCTAATACATAACATACTTTTGTCTCCTTTTTTGTCAGTTTTGTTGCAGAGCAGATTTAATGGATAAGCTGCTAGACTCAGGATATAGTAGGGAATGTGTGGGATGCCTAAAGGAAGTACTGAATTACAGGAACATTCATTTTGTTAGGTCCCTTGCTCACAGCAAATTTTTTTTTTTCTTAAACATGTGGATTGGCTGTTCTCTTGCTTTCCTTAGTTTTCTTTACAGGCCCCAGGTATCCTGGTCTTCCAGGCGGGTTAAAAGTTAATTGTAACAGAGAAGTGTAGAACCATAAGCAACAGCGAGTGGAAATGAGGACTGGTTAGTTCCACCTTCCACCAGCTCGGGTTGCTCAAAGCCCCATCCAGCCTGGCCTTGAACGCTTCCAGGGACAGGGCATCCGCGGCTTCTCTGGGCAGCCTGTGCCAGTGCCTCACCACCCTCATACCCTGGCGTTGTGGAATTCCCTGGAAGCTCAGAGGAGTGCTCCTGCCAGAGGGTTCACCAGAGGTCCATGACTTAGGAATTTCTATTCAAGAATCAAGATACCAATGTTAACAATGAGTTATATGCATAATAAGTTTTAATCTTTAAGCTGTTAGGTTAAGAAGAACAATGTAGAATATAAATTACATGGGTTATATGCTTGCAGGTGTTCAACATCAATCATTTTTATTAAATTCATGCAAGACTGCTCATTTGTCCCTGTACAGCCCCAACCCAGAGGCAGGCTAAAATCTGCCTACCTAAATAGAAATTAGGGAATAAGTAAAAAGGTTGATTGAATTGTAGATAATTATTCACCTTTAAGTACATAGGGATAAGAATTAGAAATAAAATAACTATACGTGGAAATGGAGACGAAGTAAAGAAACTGCGAGGATCAAATAAGAAATTTGGCTGAGATGACCTTTGTGACAAGCCAACCTGAAAGAAGGAAAGCAAGAAGAAAAGAGAAGTGGGACTTTGAAACGGGAACAAATTGAGACGTTCTAAATGCCCTGAACACCCTGGAAATGTCTGACTGTTCAGAACAGACACATGTTATGTGATCTATATGAGATGATGGTAAAAGACAAGGTATATAAGCACGGAGTAAAACAGTTTGAACCACCGCTCTCTGCGGAGGTGGTCCGTCGATATATTGTTGCCTGAAAATGAAGCAAACCTGGAGTTACCCATCGTCCACTGAGTATTTTTGTAACGCAATTATATTCAGCTAATCTTTTGAACAGCATAAACACTTAAATATATAACACTACAGTTAAAGATACTTGCTTTCCCAAGATGAAAGGGGCTGTTGGAGCACTTGATTTTATTTTTTTATTTTTATTGATTATTTTATTTTTTTGTTTGCTGGTTTGGTTTTGCTTAAAATAAGAGCTAAAAGAACTCTGAGAATGTCTTCAGTTTAGTTTGTGTTGCATTCTGAGAGGGAATGAAACTTGATGGCTTTTTTTTTTTTGCTTGATCTTTAGGAGGAATAAGTGAAAGTCGCTCTCATTCTTGCCAAATGGTTTAAGGGTAAATACTGTATGGGTTTAAAGCTAAATGCACATCTGTGAGCCAAAAGCAGAGACACTCTGCATTCCCAGTTTGCATTCCCAGTTCGACAAGCTCATTATATTTTGACCATTTGCTCCGTATAATCCTGTAGGTCTTAAATAGTTGTGGAATAGCTCTTGTCTTCAAAGTGGAAGCTAAGAAAGGAATGTTGTAAGAAAGGAAATATGACTGCAGCTGAGAATCTGAGAAAAGCAAGTCTGGATAAGGGGACAGACAACGTAACTTTAAAGCATAAGCAATCTTAAGCTTTCAAAACAAAGCTAAGAATAGAAGGAGAAGACTCAGCCTGAAGCTGCAATTGGTGGAACAGTTTAGTATGTAACCATTTCTCATCATTCCTTATGGTTCATGTCCTTCCCCCCTACTGCATTGTCATTTAAGGTGAGCATAGGCTAGGGGAAAAGAAAAGGCTGATGTGTGAACTGCATGAAGATTACAAAGCAGTTTGCAATGAAAAGTGGCAGAGGATTTCTCAAGGAAAAAAATAATTATTTTTTAAATTTCTATGACCTTTGTCTGCCTTTTCCTTAGCCTGCTGATGTTTGTGCATACTGAAGAGCCTGATAATAGTTAGGGCAGAGGAATGGGAAATGAGAAGTCCTGTGATCCTTCCTGCTGTAATAAAAACTTAAGAAGCGATTACATGCTACATTGAACTATAGTCCCCTTAGCAGTGTGAAATAGTGATTCATGGTACTATGACATCCAGCTCTTCTAGTAAAATATTTAAT